CTATAAACATTAAAAGGTATCTATAGAATATAATTTTTTTAATGATATTTATTTAAAATAAATAAAATATTAACCTTTGCTATAGGGATAAAAATTCCTTAAAATATCAAAGAAACCAAAGTGGAAAGACAGTTGAAAACATGAACATCTCATGTAGTATTTATCATAACAGAGGCAGAACTTTAACTTTGTACGTTCTGAATTTTAAAAAGACATTTTTAACTACTAATAATTGGGTTTTAATCAAGTACGCATACATACATAATGAATCAAATATACTATTTGATTCGAGTCCGTTTGGACATAAGAATTTTTTTTTTTTCAAAATCAATATTTGACCATAAAATTTCAAATTTTTATTTGAAGATAAATTTTGAAATTTTTCGAAATTTTAAAAAACCTCAAAAAACTATTTTTCAAAACTTTTCACTCAGATCACTCACAATAATTCAAAAATAACCTCAAATTATTTTTATGTCCAAACATAACTTTAATTTTCGAATACCATTTTCACTTGAAAAATTCACTTTTTTTTTGTTTGTAATTTTACAATTCTTATGTACAAACGCCCACGAAAAAAGTTACTGAATTTAACCGAATTCATGTATGAGTTTCATCTCCGCCCTAACTAGCTAATGGCAGTCATTTTAAAAACGACCTAAATCATAACGTCACTCTTTTATTCTCTAAATTGGGTACTAGCTAGAATTGTGTCTATCCCCATCTCAGTAAATCCAAACTAATTGAGGAAATACTATTTTCATGAGTGAGTTCGCAAATTTTAAGATCGACGTATTTTGCTCCAAGATCAATTACGGGATTGATTTCGGCACTCACCGTCTTTTTAATTTACTTATTGAAAATATTTTATAAATCAATATCCATTAATAATACAGAGATAATAAATTTAAGATTTTATTGTTGAAACTTTTACTTTTAAAAATTTGGTTGATCTTTCCGAAAAAGAAAAGTTAAAATTTAAAGAAAAAAATAAAGTTGCCACGATCACTTCTAGGCATATTATTGAAGCAAACGAATAATCAGATTATATTATCATTTTTAGCCTGTACCGGAAACTATTTAGATGTGGTAGCTGAAAAATATATAAAATTTGTATAATTTTTGTATAGTAACATACAAAATGTATATATACAAAATAATATACAAATTTTATATATTTTTCGGCTATTATTTTTACAGCAGTTATACAATGTCATTTTCTCATTGAAAACTAGCACAGAAAGAGATATTTTTAAGGTCAAAATTTTAGAAGACATTATCTAAAAATGAGGAATTAAAGTGATAATTTGCGTTATCCAATAAAATGAGAGAAAACATTTTGCTCCAGAGCAGAAGATTTGCTTCATGAATCAGAGTTGGTTATCATAATTAGTTTTTTAACATATTCTATCAGTGAGACTAAATGTGTTCTATTTTAATATACTTAAGGAACTAAATATACTTAGTGTTATATTTAAGGGGCCAAAATAGACATACCCTCAAAGATAAGGGACAATACTGGCCAAAAACTCAGCGCAATGAAAACTCTATTATTCTGATGCTGAATAAGGTTCATATTCCAGAATCCCAAGTGTATAAGCATTAATTAGATAACTTTAGGCATATAGCTTTATTCCTAATGTACAGTGATACTTTACTCTATTATAGAGTCAAAGAATTATTATTCTTTAAACATATCTCATTACTTAAATGGTCGTTCAACTATCTTAAATTATCTTTTAAAGTCACTTTACTTTCGTTTGTAACAACAAAGTCACTGAACTATGTCTATTGCACTCAAAACGTCACTCAACTAGATTTTCCAAATTTTGGATTGTCAAACCTATTTTACGCTCTAATTATAGACATTTATCTTTTTTTTTACTTTTTTTTAAACTATTTAATATTATGATTATCCCTTTTTAATTTATATTATAGACTTACCTATAGAATAAATAAATATTATTTATAAATTAAAAAAATAAAAAGTATTTAAGCATATATAATGCTGGAATAACAAAATAATGATCATAGTAAAAAAAATTAATTAGAATAATTTGTTAGTAATAATAATTTTAGTATTAACAACAAAAATTAAAATATTTATTTACACAATTCATTTGGTAAATAAATTAGTAATAATAATTTTTGTGTTAACAAAAAAAATTATTTGGTAGAAATATAATAATATAATTGAGCATAATTTTCAAGAATATATAATGTATATTATAAAAAATATTTTTATTTAAATAATTATTTTTATATTACGTGTATGGAATATATATTTTACAATCTTTATTTTCTTTCATTCTCAACTGTGTAAATATTTTTTTGAATTTTTGTTTTTATTACTAAAATTATTATTACGAATAAATTATTCTAATTAATTTTTATACTATTCTCATTATTTTATTATTCCAGCATTATAGATGCTTAAATACTTTTTATTTTTTAATTTGTAAATAATACTTATTTATTCTATAGGTAAGTCCATAATATAAATTAAAAAGGGAAAATCATAATATTAAAAAAATAAAAAAGATAAAAGAAGATAAATATTTATAATTTAGAGGGTAAAATAGGTATTTGGCAATTCAAAATTTGGAAAATCTAGTTGAATGACCTTCTGAGTGCAATAAGCATAATTCAGTGATTTTGTTGTTACAAATGAAAGAAAAATAACTTTTGGATATAATTTGAGATAGTTGAATGACCATTTGAGTAATTGACTCAATATTTCTTTTAGAGTTTCCTCTAAAAAATAGGAAAGCCAAGAAAAGAAGAAATTAAATTACGAGAAAAAAGTTATAGAAAAAGCAAGTGCCTACCATTGGTTTTAATTTCCTGATATCGACTAATCACCAAAAATAAATCAATAATTTATAGAACAAAAAGCCAAAAGAAATTGATTAAATAAAGACCATTTGAGATTTACCTTGAGCATACTTGAAATTAAAAAGCAAACTACCATTTTTAAAGTCACTAATTACCCTCAATTATGCATATTTAAGAAGAAGTCAACTCTATAATTTTATGAGTTAAAGATTCTGGCATAAAGCAGACCAATTGGATAATTTTTTTAAAAAAAATTCACAACAACTTAATTATAATAATGACGATAATTAATAATAAACAAAATACAAATGCCTAGAGACTCAAAGTAGCTAGCACTAACATGAGAAATGCTGGATTTTGGATAAATCTATTGTTTTCTAAACATTTTCTAAATTTACTCTCTCCAATCTAGTTTTGTATAAGCTTATCTTATTAATTATATTTTTTATACGCTCTTTACATAATTAAGACCAAAGAAATATTCCTGGTTATACGGTCAACCCACTTTATAATGACATTATTTCTCCGAATAATTTTTGACTGCTATAGTAAAGTATTAGTATAAAGAATATATATTATAATATAACATAAATTAAAAAATTGGTTCCAAAAAAACTTGAATATTATAATAAAGCGTTGTTATGGAGGATAACTATTATAGAGAATCTTCATAGTATTTCAATCAATCAAGACATCATATGATCGAACTTTAATCAAATTCTATAGTGTAGAATTCCCTATTTAATTATTTTATAAATCTTGTAACTCAATTTTGATGCAGGATTTAAACTTATATTATGGTTATATAGTGTTCAATAATCAACCTTATTTAATATGGTTAAATATACACGGTAAACGAAATTTCTAATGCGCCTCTAATGTCATTAACATGTAGTAGCAAACTAATAGCGAGGCATGACATGCAATCAATATCTACACTAATTCATATCAATTTACTATGAGTAAGTAGTTCAATGATGAGATACAACAACAACAACGACGACCCAGTATAATCCCACAAGTGGGGTCTGGGGAGGGTAATATGTACGCAGACCTTACCCCTACCCCGAAGGGTAGGGAGGCTGTTTCCAGGAGACCCTCGGCTCAAAAAACAATAGGAGATGATATATTAGTACCATAAAAATGCGTAATAAAAATAACAACAATATATAAGAGATATGAAATATGAAATATAGGATATTAAATACGAAAATACGAAAATACGAAATAGATGGCTGGTATAATACAACTAGAAGGTAAAGCCCTGCCTCAATAGAAGACCAATGACATTCCTAGTCTAACTCCTAACTGGATAGTCTCCCTCTATTGTGTTGTAGAAATATTCACATTCTCCCCTAACCTACAACCCTAATGCTCGACCTCCATACATCTCTATCAAGGGCCATGTCCTCAGTAATCCTAAGTCGTGTCATGTCATGAGATACTATACATAAAATTAATTATAGTAAGTGATAAAAATTTAAATTCAATAACATAATAAAAATTTACGTGATCAGGAGGCGACAGATACGAGCCGTGGAAACATCATCTTGCAAAAATGCAAGGCAAGATTATGTACAATAGATATTTGTGGTCCGACCCTTTTTCGAACCCCGTGCATAACGAAGTTTAGTGCACCAGACTGTTTTTTTTTTAAAAAAACATAATAAGTGAGCGTTTGGACATAAGAATTGTAAATTTTCAGAAAAAAGTGGAAAAAAAACAAGCAAAATGGTATTTGAAAATTAGAGCTGTATTTGGATATGAATACAATTTGGAGTTGTTTTTGAATTTTGCGAGTGATTTGAAGTAAAAAAATTTAAAAACAGCTTTTTAGAGTTTTTTTTTAAATTCTCGAAAAAATTTGAAATTTAATTTCAAGTGAAATTTAAAATTTTTATGGCCAAACACTAATTCCGAAAAAGTATTTTTTTTTTTTTTTAAAAAAGTAAAGTTTTTTTTAATGGCCAAACGGGCTCTAAATTTTTACGGCAAGGAATCCTAGATTATAACGTTAATTTAGAGCAAAAAGAACAAATATGTTTGAATATAAAATTCAAGAATTAAAAATATTACCAAAATTGCAAAACCCCAAAAAAGACGTCAATGCATACATCATATCATCATCCAAACACCACCCACCCCCACCAATGACAACCCCCCCTTTTCTTCTCTAACTCAAACTCACTGATTCTTTAGGTCTTTTCTTATATATATACACACAAAATTCCTTTTACAATGGCCGCACTGAGAGTTATTTCAGTAGCTTCTACTTCAACTTCTTTTCATTGTTACCCTTCAGTTTTCACTAAATTCAAATCTAGTCCCACTTGGGCTATTTCTTTTTCAGTTACACCCTTGTTGTGTTCAAGAAGAGCAAAAAGGATGGCTCATTCTATTGCTCGGGCCACTCTTGGTTTAACTCACCCTAATCAAATTGAGGCCCCTAAGGTTTGTAATAATTGCTTTTGTGTTTAAAGATTTGATTTTTATTAATTGAGGCATAGTAATTGTTGTTAATTATCTTTTTTCTTTTGTGGGGTTGGATTATGATTTGTGATACCATTTATTCTTATGTTTATCTTTGTGAATTCAGTGCAAAGAACTGATCTTTATTGTTTAACCAAAACAAAATTGAGCAAAAAGATTTGGATTAGGATCTGTGATCCCCTTTAGTCTTGTGTTTATCTTTGTGAGTTTAGTGTAAAGAACTGATTTTTAATTCTCCTTTCTCTTTTTTTTTGGTGGGTTTGAATTAGGATCTGTGATGCTCTGTAGTCTTGTGCTTATCTTTGTGAGTTCAGTGAAAAGAACTGATTTTTTTAGTTTTTTTGGGCGTTTTTTGTGAGCTTGGTGTGGTACTCTTTATTATCATGTTTGTATATGTGAAGTTAAAGGGAAGCAGCAACACTAAAATTGTCCCCTAGGTCACGGGTTCGAGCTGTGGAAGCAGCCACTAATGCTTGCGTTAGGGTAGGCTAGCTACATCACACCCTTTGGGTGCGGCCCTTCCCCGGACCCTGCGTGAATGTGGGATGCTTTGTGCACCGGGCTATAGGTCACGGGTTCGAGCTGTGGAAGCAGCCACTAATGCTTGCGTTAGGGTAGGTTAGCTACATCACACCCTTTGGGTGCGGCCCTTCCCCGGGCCCTCCGTGAATGTGGGATGCTTTGTGCACCGGGCTGTCCTTTATATCTGTGAAGTTAGTGTTTGTCTTGTTTTTGTGGGTTTGGATTCTGATGTGTGATACCCTTTGCAGTCATATTTATCTTTGTGAATTCAGTTCGATATTTAGAGTAGCTAATGATATGTTTTTAGGTGAATTTCGGTGTAATTTCTGTATCTCATGAACAAAAAAAAGCTTTTGATCTCCCAATTATTATAAATTTTGCCTTATATTCTATTTGAATTAACCTTTTGGAGTATAATATTCTTGAATAGAGCGGAATGGATATAACGGATTCAGATAGCTTGCAGCAACTAATTTGGAATCGAGAAGTAGTTGATTGATTGATTCTTTTTTGGGGGGATATAGTCCTAACATTTTAGATTCTATGTAGATATTCTTTAAATGCGGCAAGCGGCCAGTCTTTGATTCGTGATCTCTATTTTGTGATTCTTGTTTGATTCGTGATCTCTATTTTGTGATTCTTGTTGTTTATATGTATGGTAGTTCTATAATTACCGGACTAAATCCGCTCTCTCTTTTGGGAACATGAAAGATTTCATTTGCTGCTAAAGAGATTGATTTGGTGGAATGGAAAGGAGACATACTTGCAGTAGGTGCAACGGAGAAGGACTTGGCCAGAGATGAGAATTCAAAGTTCCAGAATCCAATATTGCAAAAGCTAGACTCGAAATTGGGCGGTTTATTGTCTGAAGCTTCATCCGAGGAGGATTTTAGTGGAAAGTCTGGACAATCCACAGTTCTTAGACTTCCTGGTCTTGGCTCGAAGAGGATCGCTCTAGTTGGGCTTGGCTCATCTGTATCATCAACTGCTGCTTATCGCAGTTTAGGAGAGGCTGTTGCTGCAGCTGCCAAGTCTGCTCAGGCTAGTAATATTGCGGTTGCACTTGCTTCTACTGATGGGCTGTCTGCAGAATCAAAGCTTAGCTCTGCCTCTGCTATAGTAACCGGTATCTATTTTCTTGATCTTCGCTTAAATAATTGAACCATATTGAGAAACTAAACTTGGGGTATTTTGTTGAATGTTATAGGAGCTACACTTGGGATATTTGAAGATAATAGGTTTAAGTCTGAGTCAAAAAAACCAACCTTGAAATCTTTGGACATTCTTGGACTGGGAACTGGACCTGAGATAGAGAAGAAACTCAAGTATGCAGAAGATGTCTGTGCAGGTGTTATATTCTGCAGAGAGCTCGTCAATGCACCCGCCAATGTACTTACGCCTGGTTAGTGATCTTTAATATATTTACTTGTTGCCCCTTTTATTAGCATGACTCTTACCAAGCTATTGACATGTGGACTTTGCACTGCAGCGGTACTTGCTGAAGAGGCCAAAAAGATTGCCTCCACTTATAGCGATGTCCTTTCTGCAAACATCTTGAACGTTGAGCAGTGCAAAGAATTGAAAATGGGATCCTATTTAGCTGTTGGTGAAGCTTCTGCAAATCCTCCTCNCAGTGGTGGCTACAACATCAAGACTGGACCCGGTTGTTTGATAGAGCTTATGAAGTTTGACATGGGAGGGTCTGCAGCTGTTTTAGGTGCAGCAAAAGCTCTTGGTCAAATAAAGCCTGCTGGAGTAGAGGTAAGTCCTTTGTCTTCATTTAAGGGAAAAATGTCCTGATTTATTTACTCGAGTTGCTTGTATTCAATTAATCTCTTTTCTCCAAACTAATTACCATGTGACAGGTGCATTTCATTGTTGCTGCTTGTGAGAATATGATCAGTGGAACAGGCATGAGGCCCGGAGACGTCGTCACAGCTTCAAATGGGAAGACAATTGAGGTAAGGTCATTTTTGCCTTTAGGGGTTAATCCTGTTGGATCTCCCTTACTCCCCTTATCCAACAAGCTCCTTTTGAAGATTGTCCTTTAGTTTTCTTATTGGATCCATTTACTTTTGTGGTATTCGTGATTCGGTTGGGGTGTTTGGATGCGCCAAAGCACCTTAATTTAAGTTTTGTAGTTCTTGTAAAGCTCAAGTTGTTTCATTCTTTTATTTTGTCAATAGATTTTCCTTTTCTCTGTGTGATTAGTTGGATTGAGTGAAAACTGAAAAGCATCTCCTATCTGTCAATGGATTTTATAAACATAAAGCTGAATACTATATAAGTAGTTACCATATATCAAACATGTTTCTTAGTGGCCAGGCACATTGCATTTGTGAAAGTGCAAGTTTCAGGAATGCTTCTTATCCACTGAACCGCATGAAATATTGGAAACTAAAACCTTCAAAAGATGGATGATTCAGACGCCCGTCTTGACATTTTCACAGTAGATACATTGTGTTTTGTTAGATTGTATATGTTTGACAGGAGTATCTTTTATTTTGTTGTTGACTTGTTAGTTTAGGACCAGGATGATGCAAGTCCGATTCTTGTTTTCTGTTTTGTTAATTTTACTTTATTTTACTTTATTTGACTGTTTTGGGTTTTCAGTTTGTGCGTTCATCTTTATTGTAGGTTAACAATACTGATGCTGAGGGTAGACTCACACTTGCTGATGCGTTGGTATATGCCTGTAACCAAGGTGTCGAAAAGGTAGAAATGAAACATTGATATCTGTTGCTGTCGGAAATCACTTCACACTGTTTACCGTTTAATATGTTTCTTTTGCTGTACCATACTTCACAGTACACACCCCGAAAGGGAAAAGTTTCCCTTGAACAAATAATTGAAAACCTTTTAATTTTCATTGGTCAATGTTCTTGTATTTATCGACATAATGAATTAATTGGATGCTTGAATAGACATGGACAAGAAGTCGCAGATATTGTTAATGGTAGAGACATGATGCGATTGGAAACAAGATAATGTTTTTAACATAGTTTTATTTTCTAAATAGCCAATCACTTCCAAAATTAGGTGTCGTAGCTATCAAGATAGTTTTTCAAATATCCAAACTTTTTATGTAACAAAAAATGTAATCAGATCCTTTGCTTTGATCTTCGAAACTTCACTCTTGCTAAGAAAGCTTGTACAGTAGTCAGAAGTTTATTCAGGACATTGGCATGTGTTAACGACATGATTGATCTTTATGCAGATAGTTGATCTGGCAACATTAACGGGTGCTTGTATAGTTGCCCTGGGACCTTCAATTGCTGGTATGTTTGCTTGTGCCTCTTCTTGTTTTTGGCGATGAAGACTTTATGCATATGTTTTGGTCAGTTTACCATTTAATCATATTTTCAGCTGTTACTTTGATTGCAAAAAAATAATAATTGCGACACTGAATGCACATGTTGAAGAAAGAAAGATGGCGAATCTTTTGACTGATATTTTAACTCCAAGTTTTGTCTCCTTGAATTTTATTGGATATCTTGTATACAAAATACAGGTGTTTTTACTCCTAGCGATGACCTAGCAAAGGAGGTGGCTGCAGCTTCTGAGGTAAGCGGTGAAAAGCTATGGAGAATGCCTTTGGAGGAGAGTTACTGGGACACCATGAAATCAGGAGTGGCTGATATGGTTAACACTGGAGGTCGTCAAGGTGGTGCAATAGTTGCTGCTCTCTTCCTGAAGCAGGTAGTCACCTTATCACTCTAAAAGCTTCTCCACTTCTGCTGACATGTAATTAATCAGAGCTAGCTTTTAGCCTCATGATTAACGAATTTGCACTAAACTCCTGCTATGCGCGGTGTCTGAGGAACGGCCGGATCACAAGGGTTTATTATTCGCAGCCTTACCCTTCATTTCTGCGAGAGGCTGTTTCCACAGCTTAAAACCGTGACCTCTTGGTCACATGGCAGCAACTTTACCGATTATGCTAAGGCTACCCTTCCAAATACCCACAACCATTTCATATTTCATGAGGATAAAAGTGACCCGTAAAGGTTCTTAGATTTTGTTGCTAATGGTGCAAGCTTAAGTTTAGTAGACCCGAAAGTTTCTTCTAACATCATAAATAAAAGAAAGCCGAGAAGGACTGGAACTTAAAGACATTATAAAATGACTAAAGGACCTTCGTGTTCACGCCTACAGATTTTAAATTTCCAAAAACTTGTGCAAAATTTCTATGTAAGAGCTTTTCATCTGATCTTACAGAGATCTTTAAGTAAGACTCAATGCTGTTCCTACTACATTATAATTTGCTGCCGGTAAAAGAAGATAAATTGTTGAGACAAGAAACATGATATTTTGGTTTTCGTTTTTTTTCCCTTTCAGTTTGTTGACGAGAAGGTTCAATGGATGCATATCGACTTAGCTGGTCCTGTCTGGAACGATAAGAAGAAGAATGCAACGGGTTTTGGTGTTTCGACACTAGTGGAATGGGTGCTGAAGAACTCTACAAACTGAGCCAGTCAGGTTTTCGCCATATAATGGCCAACAGATGAGAGAGTTATAATCTCAAGGGACTTTTGATGTTTGAGAAGAAGTACATCATGTTTTATGAATAAATTTGAGGTGAGGGTGGTGGAAAAGGAAAAAGCAATAGTATGGGCATTGATCTTCATAGGTAGATTGGAGGATACTTTAGCTCTGCTTTCTTGTTTCCTTGATTTATAAAATGTCTAAAATTGGCACTTTGTTTTATCTAAAGAAATTTATAGTTTTTCGTTTTATCAAAAGGTAAGTTGTCTACATCACAACCCTTGGTGTGCAGCACTTCTCCCAACCCTCGTGAACGCGGGATGCCTTGTGCATCAGGCTGCCCTAAATGCATTAGAATCTAACATATCTTACACTTCTTTTTTACTGAAAAAGGAAATGTTTTCCTTTGCTTCTTTACAAAATGTGAATGCAAATAAAGGAGAATATGCTGAAAAATTGGTTGAATGTTACTAGGCAGCCGCTAGGGGTGTCAAATGGGCGGGAAGCGCTAATTTTGGACGGGTCAAAGTGGGTTGAGTTAATGACCCGCCCAAAAGTTACTTGGGCTAAGATGAACTAAAATTTGAGTCATAACCCAACCCTGACCCGCCCAAAAATGACGTCGGCTAAGATGGGCAAGGTCAAGATGGACTAAAATTTGGGTTATAGACAAACCCGTCCAACTCTTATCAAGCTTTACTTAGTATGTGTTGTTTTCTTATGAATTATATAATTACTAAATAAGATTTTTTTTTTTGTTTTTGTTATGGTCATATATAACATATCAAACAAAAAAAACATTTACAAGATATTTTGGCAAAGTTACTTATAAATCAATTTAGGCTAAAAATTAACCCAACTTTAAGTGGGTTGAGATGGGAAGGGTGGAGATGGGTTGGGACAAGATGGATCGAGTTCAATAAATAGGCCGGTTAATAACCAGCACAACCTTGGGCAGAGTCATTTGGGCTTGGGAGTGGGGTTGTGTGTGGCAGGACAAAAGTATGTTATTTTTTGGAATCATAAGCTGAGATCATAAAGAGCATACTGCGAGTAGAAAGACAATTTTTTTTTAATGAAAAAGTGATTTTGTAACAAATGTAAATGTTGTATCACATCATTTCTGAGCAAGCAAACCTTAAAAAGTGAAATTTGATGGGGTCACTAAATCAATTGAAGTAGTGCCTTATATTTTGTCTACCATCATAATGTTTTTTTTTTTATATTTTATTTTATATGATTAGCACTTTCCATGGCTTAAGGAAGATATGCCAGATATTTTGTCTACCATCATAATGGTTTTCTTTTTGTTGTTTTTTTTTTAATTATTTTTTCCCGCGAATAACTTGCCTTTAACGAATTTAGCATCAAAATCAAAGAAATATCTCATAAACTCTTAAGTTCCATTTTTAACAACCGAGGGTCCGATTCACATCATTTCAAATCCGTTTCTCATCAAATTTTACGGATTCAACTTAAATACCATATAAGACCTGTACCGGGCTCTGAAACCAAAATAAGGGCCCGATACCATCAAATTCAACCATATTTCATTCCCAAAAACTCATATATATTTTAGAAAATAATTTCCTTTAAAAATTTATTTCTCGGGCTTAGGACCTCGGAATTCGATTCCGGGTATACGCCCAAGTCTCATATTTTCCTACGGACCCTCCGGGACCGTCAAATCACGAGTCTCAGTCCGTTTACCTAAAATGTTGACCGAAGTCAACTTAAATTCATTTTAAAAGCCAAAAATTTATCATTTTCCACATATATTTACATAATAGCTTTCCGGATACACGCCCAGGAGCCATACTTTTATCTTTTCGACCTCATAACTTAATTCAAATGCAAATCCATTTCCTAGTCATCTGGCTGGGCGCAACTTTGGTACTAAATAGGGCGAGCTGTTTGATGGTGACTTCTTTCGTTTGGTAGAGTGACTAACGGCTATTTCAATCTAGGAAACAGTCGGAAATCTGAAAGGGTCACCTTCGAAGAAGCATTTGCAGTAACCAAAGCCTCGCTTTGATTATGTTACAAGGCTGACTGAATCCAATCCATAAACCCGAACCTTTCGTCAAATATGGGTTGAATGTCTTAACCTTGTAAACTACCCACCTCCCGGTCAGATAAACTACCCACCTCCCGGTGTCCCGCCTCCCCCCAAATAATCGGTGCGGCAGTTAGGCATCCTTAGACGAAAGAGTAGTCTTTCAGGATTGGTCGTCATCCCTAGAGCTAAAGGAAATTTTTGAAGCCATTCCCATTCCCACACACGAATACCAACCAGAGCAGAGTGAGGGCAGAGTGTCGGCATCACAGATATAGCATGTTGAGTGAGAGGGTGGTCGTAGATCAGCCCTACTAATGAGAAAGTAGATCTGGTTCCGAGATCTGGAAAGCAGTGAATACAGTTAGTGAAGCTAGACCGGGAAGTGGGGTATCCCTGGAAAAGAGGACAGCCTTAAGTTCTAGCAACACTTCGCGCACGAGATAGCAATGACAGGAGATTGACTGCTCGGGGCGGTAACATGTTATATGCCTTATTTTCCAGATTACTGCTTCCACTATTTATAGGCTACCTGTAGTTAGCTTTTATGCGACATGTTAGTGTAAAAATTTATTTACACAATCAGTGTATATAAGTTAAACTATTACAGAAGTATGTATCAATAACACTAAACATGAATTATACATCAAGCCTTTGCAAAGCTCAAAAGATAGAACAAGTCAAGCAAAAGCATATTATGAGAAGCTACAACTTACAGCAACAAAATTCACTCAGTATCTTCACTGAAATCAGGCTCTGGAGGTTTTTGCAGCTTCATCAGTTCCCTAGCAGTCTTAAGATTTCGATTCCTGTGAACCCCTCGGAGAGCATTAGCTGCAAATCTTGATGCCAAGAATGTTGCACGAATACTATAAGGCGATCCACCCGGAGTGCTACTAGCCCCGGCCAACGCTTCTGCTTCTTCGTCTTCTTTTCTTTGAAGTTCCATAAGTTTCCTTTTCGTGAAACGCCTCCACGCTGCTTGGATAAAGCAAGCAGCCCAAGTCCTCCAATGTTGTGAGTAAAACCGGAACGTGTGCTGAACCTGTCTACTGTGAAGCTTTCTGAACTGACTCGCAACAAATTTCAACTCATCTGCTATTAGAGCAAAAGCCTCTACTTCTGTTAGAGCTTTCACTGTACGAGTAGAAGACGGGAGGTTAGAACCTGATTTTGGGTCTAGTGCCCAGGTTAGAAGTTCCTCTCCACAAAAGTCGGATTCTTTCAACAAACTTCGGTTGAAGAAACCGCTTCGCCCACCATCAGTTGTCACACTCTCAAGGCGACCTCGTATGACAAAGAGCATTTCATCCACTGGATCTCCTTCTCGAACAAGGTAAGTATTCTCGATGTACAAACAGGGTTTTAGACGCTCACAAATTGCATCGAGCAATCTTTCCTCCATATTTGCAAATAGAGGCACCTGAAAATCAATAAAGGGATATTAGTAATACAAAACTAAAGCTATGACCACTATGAGACAAGTCGATTAAAGGTGGGAGAAAGAAATATAACAGAAGAAGCAGAATATATAATTTAGTTACCCTCTTCACTAGAGCCAGACAAAGATGACGCTTAATATCCCTCCTGAGATCCTTAGGCAAATTCTGAACTATATTCTCTTCATCCACTCCGCGTGTTTCTTGCCACTTGTACTGATCATAGCCCCTAACCCGTTCTCGGAGATCTTGTGGAAGCAATCGGTGATGCATCCACTGTTCTGAGTCGCGCCTTTTAACTCTCATCTCCTCAAGTCGAATAGTAAGAGACTGAAGGTATGTCTGTGACAGCAAAATACCAAACTCATAAGTTACAAATCTCCCATGGATACAATGCCATTATCAGAAACACTTTGACTTCACAGAAATTAAAAAATCATAAAAGAAACATCTTGTTGAACAACAGATTTGAAGTGTTATGTAATTTTATGCGACGAGAAAAATCTTTATATAAGATGGTAATTACCTGCATGTTACCAATCAACAGTGCAAAGAGAATGAGCCCGAGTATTGCAAGTGCAATAGAGAAAAGAGACTCCCCGGGAAACGTGCTAGTTTGAAGTCCCTGTCCAAGGGTACTGCACAAGTAAAACATGAAATAAAGAATGTCATTACTACCAAATGTACTACAGAATTTAAAGGCAAAATAATGTAAATGTTCATTTAATTAGTTTCGCGAAGTCCAGCCTAATCTCTTCTTTTTTTCCTCCAGTCCTCTGTGTAGGAACTATGAATAAAAGAAAATCCTACCACTACTATTAGTCAAACCAATTATTGAATAGACAATGCGAACCGGAAAAAGCCGTATACTCTGACGTAGGAATAATCATTGTAATACGATAATAGCACCTGATTAGCAAGAAATTCCCTGCTCTTGTCGTATTGAACCGGAAAAAGCATATCACACTGGAACAATTGAATTAGGTACTTGTCTTATATATGTGCTATAACTCCCGTACAACCCTATAGTCTTGTTACCTTATCATGAACAAAAAAAAGAACCTATAGTCTTGTTCACGTTGAACTATATGGAGACTCGCGAAAAGGAGAAAAGAAGAATGTTAGTTGAGTATAAAAGTAAAGTCACCTCAAATTCTGGAGTCCCCACCACAAACAGTAGCAATATTTAGTCACGAACTTCATCGAGAAAACTATGCCAGATGACAAAGCCTGCTTAAAAATTCCAAAATCAAATGGTCGGTCGTTGTCACTATCTACGGGGCATGCTTCATTTAAAACCGACTCACTGATACTGCTCCAAGCATTATACCCTGTCATTCCTTGATTGCCACAGTACAAGAAATCGGGGTTGCATGTTCCATTATGTTTACAAGCTTCTTGCCAGCATGTATCATAGCGTTCCACAGAAAGCAAATACCAAAAGGAACCAACTATCTGAAAAGAACCAAACAGAAGGGAAGTAAGAAAACTTCCTTTTTACGGAGAAAGAAGAACATTGTTATACATGTTAACCTAAGACCTACAAAAGAAGCCTGACAATCTATTGAGAAATAATAGAAATAACACGTGAAAAATTTAAAAAGGTGAACCAGCTATATGGACGACAACCAAATTAATTCCAACAATACTTTCAAGTTAAAACCGTGAGTTTTAATGATCGATTCTTGTTATTTGACGTTATTTTGATGATTTGAGGTGGCGAGCAAGTTTTATGAGCAAGTTTAGCCCATAAATC